ATTAACATATATATTTAAAAAATGTTTACGCCTTGCTTAAACATATAAAGTAGCTAACACGCTTTCACTGTGGGAAATATGTTCCTGGATGGCCTAATTAAAAAAAAGGTCTGCTTGTCAGCTGTAATGTGATATCTGCAGAGTACATTTATCATGATTATTGTACAAATCAAAAGATATTGGAGATTATCATCGCAGCTTCTCATGTGATTAATAGGAAGTGGCAGCAGAGATACACGTAGGGAGTGTGCGTAGTCGTAAGACACATCATCTCAATATAATAAATACATAAGTAGAAGAGGATACTGAAGATCGTTCTGTAAATCTCAGGGCTGGTATACAATGACGTTGGTGCTCTGTGTGTGTGTTCACAACACCGGCTGAAATCTGGAGTGTGCTGAGTCTTGCGGTTTAAAGGAAACTTCTATTGAAAGATTGGATTGGCTATCATTGCTGACCTCTACTTCTAAAAATGCAAGCTGCTTGGCTTTTATGCTGGTTGAACGGCTCCAGGACTTTTTGGCATCACTGACAAGCGGCATGCTCGTTCTTGGTCAGTGAATCTCAACTTAAATAGAATATCTTGACAGATCACCCTCCAATACTACTAATACATACCTCCCCTGATCCCCCTATTTACCTGTTGAAATCCTGAGTCTCACCCCTTTGTAAGTTTTGAGTTAAAGCTTATACAAGTTTAAAGACCTACTCTGAGCTATTTTTTTATATGGTCTTGTGGCCAGTTTAAAAAAAAGCTGTGTAATACTCACCCTAGTCTGGAGTTACCTACTGCAGTACCTCTTTTCTGCCACAAGATGTCCTCAGTCTTTCGGGTTGAAAGATGCCAACGGTCACTCGACCTGGAAGACTGATGACAATACTGTGAAGCACAGCGTCATGGGCCTGGCCATCACTGAGTCATGTGACCAGCCTGAAGACTTGGGAAAAAGGTACATAAAAAAGGAAGCTCAACCAGGGGACTTATTGGACTCTAGGTGGTGCTCAGCTCAGAATTGGGCTTCAATGACCTTGGCAAGCCCAGGAAGAAGGTTATGGGTTCTACCATACCTCGGGATACTGAGTTTTTTCAAGGGCTCTAAGAGGTGAACAGAGAGGCAGAGGAGTGTGGTAAAGGTAAGTATCAGTGGGCGAAGGGGTGTCTTATCAAGAAAACCAGTCCAATGAGTATCCCACCGCACTCCTTACCAGTATGCCCCTTGAAGATGCGTGCTGAAGTGGCTGCAGATGCCACCGCTTTAATCCAAGAGGATGCAGTATGTCACCAGCACGCCAGAGTAAAAGGTAAAAAATGTCTTTATTGGTGCATGCACATCATATCACAAAGAAGGCAATGTTTCAGGGTCACTCTGGGTCCCTTCATCAGGCTCAATATTACGTCATATTGAGTCTGATGAAGGGATCCAGCGTGGCCCCGAAATGCTGCCTTCTTTGTGACATGATGTGCATGCATCAATACAGACAATTTACCCCGCCGTGCTGGTGACATACTGAATCTTCTTATCAAGCGAACAAGTCACTTTGCTTATTTAGGAGAGATTTTCTTTAATCCAAAGGCAACCAGGAAATTAGTATTTTAAAAAGGAAATCAGCAGTGGCAGATTACAGTTTTTGGGGTTTTTTTTGGTATTGGTGTACCCAAACTTAAAATGTGAAGATTTGCTATGTTGTGTGGAACACCTAGAAATGTTGATTGTGCCCCTATCTTTTGTCTGGAATTACTCCTTAAAAGCTGCAATGCACTTCCTGTTCCTAGGCGCTCTTATGCCTTGGGCCTCAGAGCTGTATATGTTCAGTCGGAGCTCATCTAAGGCAGGGCTGGAGAAATCTCAGGAGTCAAGTAGCCAATGCTCCTCAAGCATTACAGCTGGCGCCTAACGTCTAAAAGGTTTCTCTAGATGTTGTCAATGGAGCTAGCTCCTAAAAAAAAATTCTGCGGGCTCCTGGATTGGACAGACTTGCTCCTGCATTCCATATTAATTTTCCACCCTTGATGAAAAGCATTGCTACCTCTGACTGCTAGTTTTATAAGATTTGGACAGAAGTTTAGTAATATCACTAGAGTGCTGCTTATTGTTCTCCTTGCTGGAGAGGAAGCTGTACCTGAGGACCAACAGTGCAAGATCCCCCTGCTTCATACATTCAGTGGATCTGTGCTTCCTCCACTTGCTACTTTTTAAATACTCCCCCACCAGACATCAGATTGTCACAGGGGCAGCTGTGACATGAGGGAACAAAGCCTTTCCTCTACCAAGATGACTACCTCAATACACAGACATGGAGCAGAAAAAGGCTTGAAAACTAAGAGGGTTATTCACAAAGCTAGCCAAAGGATCAGCCGTAGCTTCGGCTGATCCTTTGGCTAGCTTCGGTTGGGGAGCTCTATTCACTATAGCCCGTACAGCTGCCGAAGGCGGTCAAGCGTCTCAGCCGAGCAGAAGGCATATGCTTCGACTCAACTGAGCCAAAGTGACAGCCGGGGTGAACAGCTGGGCATCCAAATGACCTGGGGACGCTGATCTGTCATTAAACAATAACTAGTTCACTCACTGTTGTTCGGCACCTATGAGCTGAGTGAGCTTCCCGAGATGTTGGATCGGCTGAGCCGAACTCCTTCTGCACTTCGGCTCAGCCGAACATGCAGAGCATGTTTGGCTGAACGAAGTGCAGCCGAACGCAGCTGATGTACGGCTGATTTCAGTCGGTGTATGGCTGAAATCAGCCGTACAAGCCTGAAGTGAATAGCCGAATGTTGTTCGGCTCACTTCACTTTGGCTGGGTTATTCACTCGGCTGCCTTTGGCAGCTTTGTGAATAACCCTCTAAGTAACCCTCTAAGTAACAGGGAACAGATCAGCTGCAGAGAAGCCACAAAGGAAATCTGTTGAGTAGTACTTTACCCTCTGCTTGCCTTTTTTTGGGCTGCCATAACTGACTTGTATGTGCTCCATGTCTGTTATATATCCTTAATTCAGAACATTCACAAGTCATTGGCCTGGAACATGTATATGCTCATCGGGTGTTGAGGCTTCTGTTCTGTATACTTGTTTCAAGTCAATGGCATTCCAAGTAATGAAGAAAGGCTCAGGATGAGAGCTTGGGAACATGACCCTTTAAAACAAACCAGCAACTACAACCCTTATATTTCCATTTTGACAGTCTGCCTTTAAGCTGAGCTGTTATTGTACTTTACACACATTTGTGGATGTTCCCAGCAGCTATGACGCATACATTAACTTCAAATTAAACACATTCTTGTAATCTGTCTACAGTCTAAAAAGCACATAAATAAGCATCACCCGTCGGATATACAGCATCTTCACAATACTCCTAACACATATAATGCCAGTGTATCATTCCTGTTCATTACTGCAGTGATTTTACACCCCTCGCTGAGATCATCACTTGTGAGTCTGCTGATCATTTTGTTAGAAGTTTAGCACATCTGGTGAAGACGAGTAAAAATTGAATTCATTAAGCTGCCAGCGTCTAAATATCCCCTGCATGCAAGAATAATCTATTTAAAGAATCCCTTTAGCGACAATGCTCAGGGATATTAATGCAATTTTACAGAAATAAGCTATTATAATCTCATTAAGATGATTCAAGATATTATTCAGAATTTTGCTCTTTAATTGTAACCAAAAAAGATGCTAGAGAGGTAGATAGATAGATAGATAGATAGATAGATAGATAGATAGATAGATAGATAGATAGGAACACAGAAATACTGGATGATTTCCAGGGACAATCTTATCATCATGACCTGAATCCTTTATAGGAAAAAAATGTACAATCGATTGAAAGGTATATGGACCCTGGTCACAACACTCATGTTGTATTTGGGCTCACTGCCAGGGCCGGATTTCCCACAAGGCCAACCAAGGCCCGGCCTCAGGGCAGCAGGGAGTAGAGGGGCAGCAGGGGTGTGGAATTCCTATCTCCCGATGCCCAGGACATGCAGTTCCGGGTGCTGGGCGGGCAGTTGTTTTCTACATTTAGCCCTGCTTTGGGCAAGCAGAGCTAATTGTACAGCGGGGAAGACTCCGCTTGTTTTATATAAGTGATTTTATATAAGTGATCCTGGCGATGTCGCAGAGATCACTTATATGCAGCCTCCAGGTCTGCCATGCACCATGGGGGGTTGGCGGGTAGGGGGGCGCATTGAGAAACCTGGCCTTGGGGCAGCAGAGAGAGTAAATCCAGCCCTGAATGCCATCAGGGTGATGCGCTGATGTTGGAAGTCCTGACTCTCGCCCAACCATCAGAACTAGCTGGTCCATGTAACCTATGGACACTTCAAAGGCAAGAACTTTCCTTACTCTCGGTGGGGTACATGAATGGCCAAGGGGGAAGAATCTGTCCCACATCTTTACCCCTATAAAATTAATTAGCGTGGAACTGAACAGTGTAATTTACCTAGAGCCTGTTCTGGACAAGGCAATTATGGGCTTTTCCTGGTGTGCTCTAACCAACAAGATAAAACAATACTACCCGAACGGCAAAGTTTACTTCCTTTTTCTCCCATTGTCTATGTTAAAGCAAGAAGCCAATAGCCCTGTATGTCATTTTTCTTGTTTTCTTTTTTTTTAACATTTTTATCTCTGTACATGATTCTGTGCACTTTTCCACATTTTTCGAGTATTAAATATAAAATTATTGTAGTGGCAATAAGCGGTACTATGCCTTTATTGTGCATGCTGTGACAGCTGTGTAACCAATCAGAGGGCAGGAGTGCACAGTAAATTTTTAGTCCCTGTAGCCCCCAAGGGAAAGGGAGGTCCACAATTGGGACCTCTGCGATTCTTGTTCACATACCATCGTCAGCTGCATTTTATTCCCCTGCACCATTGATTGATGTGATTGGTTCAGTGTTTTTGTAGCATATCAATTATACTTCATAAATTATAATGTGATCATTAAATATCATATTTAAATAACAAACATGTGTGGCATTCATGAATTGCTTCAGGGGAAACTCACCTGATTTTTCAGGTCAAGCTTTGGACACGGGCGTCCTCCATTATAAGGTTTCTCTTTGAGGAATTTAGAATGGACCTTCACTCCCGTACCGCAGGAAGCACTGCAGGAAGTCCAACTGGACCAGTCGCTGAGCTTACAATCAAACGGGCAGGGTACCTCACACCTTTCCTCAATATAACCTGCAAAGACAAATTGCAGACAGGTCGACTTTAAAGAACTCAGGAAAAGTTATAAGTCAAGATAATGATTTAAAATGAGGAGCTGCCAAAACTACCAAATACAAATAATCACTGTCGTTGCCTGTTGCTCTTTTAAAGGATAGGTAACCGCAATCCCTAAAATCTCATTGAATCTGTATTATGTTAATATAATTTCAAAAGTCATTTTCAGTCATTTTTCATTTGCAACTTTAATTAAGATAACACCTGGTGATCCTGCCATGGAGGTCCTTGTTCAAAAACTTCCTGTTAAAGGGAATGGAGACCACAAGTACCCATTTTGACATTGTTACTCATCTAATGGTGACCACAGTGGCTTGGTCCACTGTGGTCACCATTAGAAAACCAGTCCTAAGAATAGAAATACCATGCAGGTAGACAGCATGTAGGTGAGATGTGGATGTAAAGAGACTGCAAGAGATCAGGCAACTAATATTAAACAAGAGATGGCAATTTTTAGGGCTGAGCCCAGAAGAAAGGGAAGCCAGGGTCCAAAAACTAACTTCAGAGATAAAGGTCTGCTGAAAGATGATGGCACACATATCAAGGCAACTGCTCTTAGGCAGGTCATTTTTTAAAAGTTCAAAATGGGTGAAGGGCAGGGCTGGATCAAGGGTTAGGAACAGAAGGACAGTAGAACATTTATAAATCAGCCAATATGAGTTGTGGGTAGAATGGAGGAGAGTTACAACCAGGGCTGGATTTCCCACAAGGCCAACCAATGCCCGGCCTCGAGGCAGCAGGGAGTAGAGGGGCAGCAAGGGTGTGGAATTCCTATCTCCAGATGCCTGGGACATGCAGTTCCAGGTGCTGGGCGGGTAGTTGTTTTCTACATTTAGCCCTGCCTTGGGCAAGCAGAGCTAAAAGTACAGCGCCAAAGTCACCGTTATCACTTGTATGCAGCCTGCAGGTCTGCCATTCTCCATCTGGGGGTGTTGGGTAGGGGGGCACATTGAGGAACCTGGCCTTGGGGCAGCAGAGAGAGTAAATCCGGCCCTGGTTACAACCTAGATTAGGTTTAGTTGCTGTCTAGTACCCCATTGGGTAGATCCTTCCTTACTTCCTGTCCTGGTGACCAGACAGGAAGTGAAAAGGGATCACACCAGAACTCAAAGAGCAATAAACTCTGGCAGGAGTTCTAACCCTTCAGCAGTCAAGAAAAAAAGGGGTCCAAACCGTAAATAAGGAGGAATCTCCCCAAATGGGGGTCACGTGCACAGTGGATATAACACTTCCCCACTCCATTAGAAAAAAAAAGTTTTGGCTACTTTTTAACTTTTAAAGATTTTTTCCTTTTCCAGACAGAACTGAAACATATGCCCGCCATTGCACACTTGTTGTGTAAATAGTTCCTGTATTTCTTTGTTCTCAGAATCTCTTTCCTCCGTCTATTGTGAAATATATTATTTTGTTGTAAAGTTGTGCTTGGGGGCCATACGCTGTAAATAACAGTGCGCAGCGTGTCTGAGCTGCCATTGCAGGCAGCTGTGAGCAGGAATTCAGCGGAAATGCGGGAAGTATCAGGAGACCTGGCGCTCGGCGTGTACGCGATGTTCGGGAGATATTGCTTAGGTTGCAGCTTGAGACCAAATCACTCAGCTCAGTCATTCAACAATGCAGAACCACCGCTGTCTTGTAAAATTAATAAATGCTTGTCGCTCTGTCAGCATAAAGCCATTGTAGAGTGTCCGACTCAGGGTAGAGGCGGCCATTCTTTTTAATAGCGTAAGCCAATGTTCGGCCAATCAATTCTATAGAAATGAGTGGTGTAAAGGATTCAAGGGACGACCCTGTTTCATTTCCATTGATTCTCCAGATTGGACACTACTGGAAGGAGGGTCAAACAGGGAAAATGGGGGCAAGACTGAAATTGGACTATTATTTAGAGATATAGAATGGGTCATATGCATCAAAGAGTTTGTTCCAAAGCTGGCCAAGTGTGAGGGTCTACCTGATTGGATATAAATAGAATAGACTGATTAGATGGACACTCATACTGCATAATTGTTGGTATATCTTAACAAGGAACTTTACCCATATCTTCAAAATAACAACAAAGGCACCTTTAGAAATGTTTAGCTATGACAATCTACAAACACATACTTCTAGATAATTGCCGGCTTTTTGTTCTTTTCATGCCTTATTTTCCTTCTGTCAGATTGTTATTGACATCTGTGTCACTATTGAGGAGATTTGACAGGAAGTGATGGGAAATTTCTCCAATGAGGATACAGATACAAATGAAGGGGTCTATTCACTAAGCTGCCGAGGGCAGCCGAGTGAATGACCGATCTGAAGTGAAGTGAGCCGAACACTGTTCGGCTATTCACTTCAGGCTGGTACAGCTGATTTCAGCCGTACATCGGCTGAAATCAGCCATACATCGGCTTGCTTCGCGTGGCTTGGGGTCGAGAGAACATGCTCAGCATGTTCGGCCGACCCGAAGTGCAGAAGGAGTTTCGTCTCGGCTGTTCTGCTCGGCCCCTCAGAGGTACAGAGCAGAACAGAAAAAGAGTGAAAAAAGTCAAATAAAGTAAATAGAAAACGATTGTGCGGAGCTAGCAGTAAAAGCTAGCTCCGCCCAATAGTTTCCTATTGTCCGGCAGCTCTGCTGCTGTCAAAATAGGGACGCTGATCTATCTGAAAGTGGCCGGGGCGAGCCGTAAGC